AATCGGTATATTTGCCCGTATGCGGCAGCGAGCATGGGGCATCTGAATGCTGTAAATCTGCAGTGAGCATGGCCAATCGTAACTACTTGTCATGTTGTGACGACGTTTGATGAATGCATAAAGGGTGGCGATGTTTGTGTTGTGTAATGTCACGTCCATGCGCGTCGATGCATGCAGAACGTGTACGTGGATGTTGGGAAGCACACAGCGGCTGAGGTCTACTTTTGCGAAGGTGTCAATGTCGGTGTCATAATGAGCAAGGCGTCATTCCATTCGTAGGTCTCATAAACTGCACGTGATGAACGCACTTGCGTGGTTTCAAGTCGTGAAATGGAGTATTGGGCGAGAGAGGTCAAAAAATATACGAAAAAAAAAAAATTCTAACCCCGTATGCAGCGAATGCATTCATTAATCAAGATGTAGGACTCATTAGACGAATCGTGATATAATATATATATAATCAATAGAAAGGAAGTAGAATAAAATGGTATGAACTCTAAATGTTACACATCCCACACACCGGTTGCTCGTTGCAACTGTAAGGCGGCCAATAGACGGCGAAACCTGTCGCAAAGCCGTCCGTATCGTTATAATAATGGCTTCATCGAGTTCACCGTAGCCGGAGTTGGGATCGTGCTTCAACCATTGAAGGTTGGAATGCGAGCTTTCCCGCACTGAGTGGTATGTGCTGCAATTTATTCGGGGATGGAAAGGGCAACGTCGAAAATTCAATAGTCTAATAATCAACCCTAGCAAAAAATGTTGTAGTAGGTCGATCGGCGAAATGGGCGGTGTATTGAAAGTACATCACTACCTTTTGACGGACAAGAGATGGTCACCAAGCATCCGTTTCATTTCTCCGTCTACGGCATTCATTGACGCGAAGTTGGAACGGAATTGTGCGCCCGGGATTCTTCGCGGAATTATTGTGCGGATGGATGAATGAGCGGATGTAATGTGTAGTGTAGTGCTCTTGGAGAATGGGTGGCTGGGTGGGGAAGTGGTCGTGGAAGAACGTATTTCCCGTTTCTGCAGCATATTCCTTTGGGCTCCTTGGCGAACAGCATCGCTCCACGATGTTTGCAAGGGTCAAGGCGTTCCACCGTTATACCCATTTTCGTCGCGCGCATAAAGGAGTGCTTCACGTCGCTGGGTCATGACGGTTTTCAGACACGATAGATATACGCTACCTCCTCGCGAAAGCATGATTTTTTGATCGTCGATGCAGTTCCTGGAGAACGCTGCGATCTCAAACTGTCTTCCAGACGATCCCTCTTCGCAAAAATATCAGATCTGCGTTGGTCTTTATGGGTTTGACGTTTGTTTCCTGTTGGAGGATGGTTCGGGCTGTGTGGCGCTGAGTCGTGTCCCCGTGTTCATCGCAGCACTATTGTTCGGTTGTCGTGCGCGTAGCCTCTTCGTATTTACAGCCAATTTGTTCTCGCGCAAATCACTGTCGTTCATTCAGTGCTTGTTCTCCTTGGTTGTTGTATGTCCGTCCGAACAGCAGCACCTAGCTCGGAGATGTCGAAGTGTAGCGTAGATGTCATCGACAGTGGTGGTTGCAAGAACAGTGCAGAACTCTAGTTTGCATGTGTTACAGCTAGCAGCTGTGGACACATACAAAAATGGGGCCAACTTTGAACGTTTCAAAGAGGAAATTCGTTTACACCAACGGAGGCGGTTGTTAGATACACTCGCAACAGTATCCGGTCGCTATGGTATATTACTATAACAATCAAGCATTGGATGCTGACAGAGGAGCGCCAATAGTAAAAATAGTATAGAAGAGGAACGCAGAGCTATTTGAGCACTTTCGTGGTTTTCAAAGTACGCAGGCGTACATGGAGCATCCTGGGGACAATTTAGGCCCCTTTTCCGCCCCACCTTGCGCCCCACCTTGCGCCCCACTTTCATCACGCTCGCATACGACAACCGGGGTGGAGCCCGCTGTCGTACTCGCAAGGCAGGACCACACCATCACAAGGGAGGNTTACTCGCCA